TTTGCCGGGTTAGCTAGTAATAAATAAATACTTCTACACATATTTTTACACCATGTTATATTATCTCAATGTAAGTAACGCATGTACTATGGGTACTTTGTATCTGATCAATGCACGTTAATATACCTATCTTACTAACTCAATATTTTCCTAGCCGCCAGTATTAACCCAAATACCTTAGTAGCTCAAGAGACAGATACATTATCCACTACGCCAATCGGGTCACGTAGGATAGTTTCCTTTATTTTTTTAAATTCATCTATTTTCAAACTCCACTTTGACAATGTCTCGAATATTTTGCTGCATTCATAGTCACAAAAAGAATAAAAAATGTAAAAGAAGATTAGAAAATAAGCTTCATGAAACACATGTTGGATTTGAAATGATATGTTTCTAAATGAAGACAATATCTACTTTTTTGGGGCTCGCATAAAGCTAAGAGAACAGTAGCCGTTTCCCCTGGTCGGGAATAATGATATGTCCTGTGTATATTGTAATATCAATAAGCCAGAATGCTTAGTCGAAACGGCAGAAACCTTTTAGAAAAACTTTTGAAATTTCCACATATCAAACAATCGCGTTATTTTTCTTCTGTTGAATTTCACCTCGATAACGCGCTCTTTCTTATTTCGCTGTTCTTCCAAGGGTTTCTATCTTTCTTTATTCCTAATTGTACACAGAGTATAGTTGAGAACAAAGCTAACGTTAAAAAAAAGGTAGAAAGGCAAGCTTAACCCTAAAAAGAGTTTTCATCCAGCAAACCCATAAGATTAAAGACGTGTTATGTTTTTGTATAAATAAGCGAAGCAAGTAAAAATCCAGTTATATATCATTGTGCAACAATCGTGACTAAATTATAATAAATGAAATGAAAGAAGTTATATGTAAATGCAAAGTACCCTTTATGTTGAAATTGAATGGGGAAAAACTTTAATGGATTTTACGAGGCTATCATGAATATATATTATATATATATAACGCCAATGAGGTTTATGTAGTTGTCAATTTGTCTTGAAATAAAACCTCTACTGTAATTACATAAATCTCGTTCAACTGTCATATATGTCTTCAATCAATTTCTGCAGAAAAGGCCACAATCTGGGAAGACGTAATAAATAATTTAACATAATGTAATAATAAATTATTTTAATACACTATATTCGATAACTTTGTGGCAAAGTTGCCAATGTATTACCACACACAGGATAACTATTTGTGTGACCCACAGATAGTTGTTTCGTGTTTGTCCGCGTGAAATATATGTTTGTAAAACGTCCTTACAACACAGGATAATGTTATCCTAAAGAAGGGGCAATGTTTTTAAAAAAGTAAATAAATAAAAATCTAGCGAACCGGGCAGACGTTGTCCTGTACACGACTTAAATCCAATAACTTAAAAAACAAATTTGTGAATCTAAATCATTCTCGAATCGACCTGAAAACACACAAAAAATTTCATTAAAATCGGTCCAGCCGTTTAGGTGTTCAGAATGTATATGTCACACGTACGGAAGAATTATATATACAAAGATGAAACAAAAACTATGTACTTACGAATATTTTGTCGAATTATGGCCGACTGTCCGACTATAAGTAAATATAATTATTTGGAAACTCCAAATATTAATACGAACATATTTCAGATAAGATTTTTTTTTTTGATTTTTTTTCCATCGTTTGTGCGCGCGAGCATGATGTATTTATATGGTAATTAGTTGTGCTTTATGCACATCCTTGTTAGATTAAATCTTTCGGCTTAAAAGTCAAGTCGAATTTGTATTATTCGTTATTTACTTGATCTTTTATATACCCACTGAATGTACCTATTTCTTTTTATGTGAAAAGTTGCCAAGCGAGCAAGCGGTTCACTTGATGTGAATACCGCCGCCCATGAACATCTAGTACACCCGAGGGTTACAGATGAGTTGACAATCTTTTGAAGATTGGGCTTCGGCTACCTCACTCACCAGACGAAACGCGAAAGTATTTATTTTATACTTCCACTTTACGCCGGTCTTCTGTGAGGTCGTGGTACTTACCCGGACGGGCCTGCCCATTCGTGCAATAGCCGAGGTTGCTGCGTGGCCCTACCACAGTTAAACCTAACATACCTAACTTAATAGTATTAAAATTTAACTTGAATCTCCAGTGAAACTCGCATCAGGTTTCGCTTTTGCACGAATCGAATATTGTTGTGAGGCAGTACAGTATTTTCACTTATTTTTATAACAATACCATATTGATAAGACAGACCATGTTGGTTAATCTTTATAGGAACATTTGTCCGTATGATTCAAATTTTGTTAGTTTTATAGTTATATGTATTAGATGGATTTTATATAATATATTTTATATCTTACTAGCTGACCGGGCACACGTTGTTTTGCCATATTAATTATTTATTAATTATTAGTATTAAAAAGTAGGGGTCGGCGGTAGGAGCGTAAAAATTTAGGACTAAATGTATTTTTAATGAAACACCATAAGAAAATAACCAATGATTAGGCATCTCCGTCGGAAACCTTTTCCATGTCAATCAGTAAGTCCAAACTGAGTTTTTATAAAAATTCATGTTTCGACTTCATAGGACATGACCTCGGCAAATTTAACGCTTGGCATTTCACCAACACCACCATTAACCATTTAGAATGATCTCCTTAAAATTTAGTATTAATAAGTCTATTAAATAACAATAAAAATACTTTTAAATAATACATGTAAATACTTTTAGGGCCAAAATTGTAATTTTTTTAAATATTTCGAATTAAAAATATTACTAAACGTATTTAATCCGATAATCTTATCATTCTAGAATTTTATTTTTCATTTTTGTTTTATTGGTTGGAATAAATAAATATTACAAAGGCAGACTTTACTATTAAAGTTTCCACTACCATACTACTAATTTTTCTTATGCCAATGTGTCCATTTGTGTTAGTAATCATTTAATTTATAATATTTTTTGTATTGTTTTGCCTTCCATTGCGTGGAATTACTTACCAGTTAGTTAGTATGGAAGTTTTATGAGATGGAATAAAGATAAAACATTTTGAACGGATTATGTGAAATTAACCAATTATTTTTTTTTTATTAACTAATCCATGAGGCTTCCTCATGCAGCACGAAGGCAAAGTCCGTAGTCTAAGGTCAGCTCTTCGACCTCAAGGTCTCGGACAGCGGCCACCTCGTCAATTTACACTACAGGTTTATAAAAAAAATTGGCCAAGTGCGAGTCGGACTCGCGCACGAAGGGTTCTATAGTTACTATCTTATATATAAAATTCTCGCGTCACGGTGTTTGTAATTGAACTCCTCCGAAAGGGCTCGACTGATCTTCGTGAAATTTTGTGTGCATATCGGCCAGGATGGAGAATCGGACAACATCTATTTTTCATCCCCCTAAATGTTAAGGGTGGTTCACCACAAACATTTTTTAATTTATATGGTAAAACAACGTTTGCCGGGTCAGCCACTTTACAATATATATACGTCAGGTGTAGGCCAGTTGTGGAACCGCGACCGCCGCGCATGCCCGGCTCATCCTGGTCACGGCCGCCCACCTTTCATGCGATATGCTCCCTATTCCCTTCCCGATAAAGCTGTGAACGCCTTGCTTTTCACGATGCGTCTTTGACCTTTTGCATTACAGCCCTACGACCTTTCGGCATTTAACGCTCCTTTGTCCCAAACCCTCTGTTGCAAGACGGCGTTTGCAATACCAGTTTCAGTCTAGTGTTCAATGGGCCTGTCGTTGTTAGATGTTTTTAGTCAATTAATGTTTAAACTCGCCAGGTCGTAATTCGACCGTCAGTCATGAAAGCGATAACAATGTTTTCATTCTGGTATTTAGCGTTTCTTTATGGAAATGTCGTGTGTTTACTTTACCTGCCTCAACAACAATATACGAAGTCGCGAGATATTTTCCATTCATGCCCATGCAAAATTCCGCCTCAATATCCCTTATTGCATGTTGTCATCAAGTCTTATCTTAATAATGAGTCAGTGTGTCCACACGTACATGTCATAACTCAAAGTTGGGGACTATTTTTGTGTATTGCCAGACTGGTATATAATAATAAAAACAAAAGCTCTTTTCCTGCTCTTAAATTGTCACTGTTACACATGATGTTGTTTTGTCTTGGATTTATAGAAGAGGACTAGGTCATAACGTCACCCGCGACGATGTCTGTATATTTTTCAAAATTAAAAACAAAGAAAGAAAAGAAAGCCGCTGTACTGAGAAAATCTGCGGGCTTTTTTTTATTTTTATTACATACATTACTTATATTACATACATATACACGCACAGCAGAATTGTCTATACAGATAAATAAAATTAGAGATGTATACACGGTACATAATAACATGTTTTACAATTTTTGTCTGTCTGTTTGTTCCGGCTAATCTCTGGAAACGATTGAACCAATTATAACGGGACTTTTCACTGGCAGATATCTGATGTGATAAGGAGTAAATTAGACTACTTTTGTTTTAGAATTTTTATTGATTTTTATTAAATAATTATATAACATAATTCCACGCGGACGAAGTCACGGGCACACCTAGTATAATTATATAAAGATGTGGCGGACTGTGCCCCTAACACTGAACAATGCAACCTTTGTGCAATTGCATGTAGGTACACATAATTGCCGTGCCGTAGCTCAGTGTCCGGGCGCTCGCCTTTAATTCAACACACGAGCAACCTGAGTTCGATCCCCGGTGCCGGCACCAATGAAATTGTTAAAAAAACACATCGTGAGGAAACCTTCATATTCTTCGAAATAATAACAAAAAAAAACATTTCGAAGATATATGAAGTCCGCCAATCCGCAGTGGGGCCGCGTGGTCGACTATGCCCTGATACCTTCTCTATAGAGGAGGCCTTTGCCCAGCTGTGGGACATGTATGTTGGTTGGTTTTAAATGAAATAAATGCTAGTCAGGATCTGTAACATTTGTGAAGTGATTGCTTACCAGTTTCGTCTCGTTTATTCCCAGGCCCGAGTCATGGTGGGTGTCGGCGGCGCTGAGGACCATACGCGCGGTGGCGCTGGTCTGCGACATCCTCACCTTCCCGATACACCTCGTGCTGCAGAGGCCGTGGAGGAAGCGCGAGCTTTCTCGCAAAATTAAGGTACCGTCAGCCTGTTCCTCCGACGGGTTTGAGTCTATGTCAAGATGTAATCGAAGGGGTGGCGTTTACCCCAAAGGTCGAGTCTAGTGTAAAAAAAGGAAAAATGTTTTACGGAAAAAACTCTTGATTACAATCCAAGTGTCTTTTCTCTGCTAAAGACAAATGTTTACTACGTAGTAATCTTATACATATGCATACAGTAGTTCAATGTCGCCTACGAGCAGGTATCCAGAGTTCCAAGGCAGCTTTAATCGCTCTCAGCGAACGAATATAGCAGTCGACGGCTGGGGATCCCACATTTTGTCAATGCACGTATGCCCAAATGCGTGACTCTGCTTAGGCAGGGTCCATCGGCCTCTTGGAAACATAGCTTCACAAGCTCTTTACCTGATGAAACTTTATAGACTGCCGAGTGCTAGGGCAAACATCCATCAAGGCGTGATAGAAGATATTATGTTTTTACAAATTGCGTTGCAATGCTCGAACTTAGATTTCCATACGTTTAATTTTACCAATCCGCTATAAGTCCGCAAATCCACAGTGAGTTGGCGTGGTTAACTGTGCCCTAATACCTTCTGTACAGAGGAGGTCTTTCTCGTTTAAGAGTTTATTTTTTTAAAGAGTTGATAACACTGGCTGTACATGCCAGTATGTCCACAAGTGCGCGTGATAGAGTCGACGCCGACGAGCGTGATTTGGGAGTTTAGTTTTTAAGAGTCGATAACACCGGCTGTACGCGGCTGTACGTCGGCAGGCGCGCGTGATAGAGTCGACGCCGACGAGCGTGATTTGGGAGTTTAGTTTTTAAGAGTCGATAACACCGGCTGTACGCGGCTGTACGTCGGCAGGCGCGCGTGATAGAGTCGACGCCGACGAGCGTGATTTGGGAGTTTAGTTTTTTTAAGAGTCGATAACACCGGCTGTACGCGGCTGTACGTCGGCAGGCGCGCGTGATAGAGTCGTCGCCGACGAGCGTGATTTGGGAGTTTAGTTTTTAAGAGTCGATAACACCGGCTGTACGCGGCTGTACGTCGGCAGGCGCGCGTGATAGAGTCGACGCCGACGAGCGTGACGGTGCGCTCCGTGTCGTCGCCGGGCGAGCTGCACCTGCGGCTGGTGCGCGACAGGGTGACCACGATGGAGGCGATGCTGCGCGCCGCCGCCCAGCGCTGGGCGCAGCGGCCCTGCCTCGGCACGCGCACCGTGCTCGGCGAGTGGGACGAGCCGCAGGCGAACGGCAGGGTCTTCAAGAAGGTACGCCTGTAGGGGTGGCGATGCGCTCCGTATCATTGTCTATAGAAGCAGCAAAAATCATGTCTGTTGTATGGGAGCCACACTTGAATATTTTTTTCATTCCGTTTTTTAGTATTTGTCCTTATAGTGGCAACAGAACGTCTGTGGACATTTCAATCGTCTAACTATCACGCTTCATGAGATACGTCCCAGTGACAGATAGACATTGAATTTTGGGTGAAGTTGGAACCCTAAAAACATTTATTTGGCTGTAAAAAAAATTTTATGGTCATAACTATGTTACATAAATGTCAATTGTATTACTTGCCGTCAATAGTGTAATTTTCTTTAAAATAAGCCTTACCTTAGGATAATATTATCCTGTTTTGTAAGGACGTTTTACAAACATTAATTTCACGCGGACAAACACCCAGATCCGGAACAATTATATGTGCGGTCACACAAACAGTTGCTACGTGTGGGAATCGAACCCACGACTCCCGACACCGAGGCAATACCTCAACTGCACCACGCAGTCATCACTCTAGGACCTCACAAATGTTCCGTTGACCAGTTGAAGATGACATTCATGAAAGATCTAGCAGCACTCCCGGTCCTCACAAATGTTCCGTCGACCAGTTCAAGATGGGCGACTACGTGTGGCGCTCGTTCGTGGACGTGGAGGAGGAGGCGAGGCAGTTCGCCAGCGGGCTGCGCGAGCTGGGATGCGCCCCGCGCCAGAACGTCGCCATGTTCGCCGAGACGCGCGCCGAGTGGATGCTGGCCGCGCACGGATGCTTCAAGCAGAGCATACCGGGTGAGTGAAACGTTCAGTGTGAAGCATACGGCCTATTTTATGTGAGAAGGCGGCACGAACGTATTAGGGCCACGCGATGGTGTTCACTGTTGCACGAATGGGCAGGTCTGTCCGGGCAAGTACCACGACCTCACTGAGGACTGGCGTGAAGTGAAAGTGTCGCCATTCTGCGTTTCGTCTGGTGAGTGAGGTGGCCGGGGCGCACATTGTCAAACAACCCTACGGGTGTTGCAAATGTCCACGGGCGGCGGTTATCACTTAATATCAGATAAAAGAAACCTATCCCTAAATATTCCATTACTTCTGTCCAAATTATATTTTTATGGAATTAGTAGAAGCGCAACTCATTGGTTTGCCAGTTACTTTGAAAATAGGTCGCAACGGGTTGAAATGCAATCAAGTGGAAGGGACAAAAGTATCTCTGGAGAGCGACTTGTAGACCGAGGTGTACCACAGGGATCCATCTTAGGTCCATTACTTTTTATAATATATAGTGCAGATCTTATTAAAAATATTGAGTTTTGTAAGTATCACATGTACGCTGACGATTTACAGATATATATTTCATTTAAGCCTCGTGATGTTCACTCAGCTGTAGCAAAGTTAAATTTGGACTTAAGTCGGATATCTTTGTGGTCAGAGCGTAATGCACTAGTTCTCAATCCGAAGAAATCTCAGTATATGATTCTAGGATCGCCAAATCAAATAAAGAAGATCATACTAAGTCACCCTGCCATTACCGTAAACAACGATTCCATTGTAAGAGTGGCGGAAGTCAGAAATTTGGGGGTAATAATGGACGACAAGCTGCGTTTTGAGAAGCATATTATGGGTATTGCACGTAACTGCTTTTACAGGTTGAAAGTACTCTATCGTATTCGTGATTACCTAAGTGTTTCCTTACGTATCAATCTATGCGAATCTCTCGTTCTCTCAAAATTCAATTACGCGGATTCCCTCTTAGGCCCACGTCTGTTATCACGAACAAGGCAAATAATACAAAGGGTACAGAACGCCTGTGCACGTTTCTGTTTTAATATACCTCCACGTGCACATGTAACGCCTTTTATCAATAACGCAAATATCCTAAAGATGGACCTCCGCAGACGACTACACTTCGCCTCACTTTTATTTGGAACTATTAGAAACAAAGAGCCGTTATATCTTTACAATAAGTTGATTTGGGCTAAAGATCAAAATGAGATGTATAATACGAGATCATCTAATTATAAATTAGTTTATCCTTTCTACCGTTCGGCCGCTTTTAGAGGCAGTTTCAAATACAATGCCACTAAGTGCTGGAACAACCTCCCGCCTCCCTTGCGCGACCTGAAAACAATAACTGGTTTTAAAAACAAGTACAAATTGTATCTACTTCTAGAACAAAAAAATGCTGCCGTTTAATTCTAATTCTTATCAGCTTAATTATACGCTATAATATAATATAATAAAATACAATGTAATATGATTTGATACAATATAATTTAATATAATATATATACATTATATTTTTTTTATAAACATATATCATAATTTATATACTTATAAGACACTCATTTTCTTACCTTTATCATGTGGCCAACGCGCAACGAGGTCTGTCTCGCGTTTTACGTTTCAAATTAAGTCACGTGTCCACTGCTCGATCGGTAAATGTCACAGTGCCACAGAGTAGGGATAAATATTGGTAACCTAAAACCAAAATGGAAATAAAGCAGCTGACACCAATATCAAATAAGATAACATTAGTTCTAATTTTTTACTTACCTCTTCAGACAAATGATATCCACTGTCTATATAATTGAAAGGTTCAAACAAAAATAATTTAATTATCGCTATACTGCGTTGTAGGTATGTATTACAAGTGCACTGACGGAGCCGTCCGAGTTGTCTCGAAGTGCGGGCGGACTGAAAACCGGCGTCGGGATCAGAACGAATCTTAGTTACTGTATCTCGACTTTTACCGAGTCCCGTCCGTTTCACGGTCTTATGCTGCTACACAGACCTTCACTTATTATTATTATTATTTTTAGTTTTTTTGTTATGTTTACATTTATTTTAAGTTATTCTAATATTATTTTATATAATGTGTAGTTACATTATTATTTTTAAGTGTTCTATGTATCTATTTGTGCTAAGACCGTGAATAAACGTTTCTTCTTCTTCTTCTTCTTCTTCTTTATCTTATCTATAATCAATCTCCTATGTGTGAAAACATATTGACTCATATATTTTAAGAATACTCTGCGAGTTGAACCCCACAAATTCAAGAAATTAAAGAGAATTCTAGTTGGAAAAGGTGCATACAACGTCTTCGCTTGCATATTTCAGTGGTGACAATCTACGCAACCCTGGGCGACGACGCGATCGCGCACGGCATCAACGAGACCGAGGTGTCCACCGTGATCACCACGCACGAGCTGCTGCCCAAGTTCAAGAAGATCCTGGACAAGACGCCCAAGGTGGACACCATCGTGTTCATGGAGGACCAGCTCAAGGTCACCGACCGCGAGGGCTACAAGCCCGGCATCAGGATCTTCGGCTACAAGGAGGTGGTCGCCAAAGGAGCCCAGTCCCAGATCGGTGAGTTTGGCTCGCCTTTCAAAGGGAATAAGAGATCGACAAGAGAAACATCGACACTTCAAACTCTAAATGACAACTCTTTCAAGGGCACTTTAATACACTGTGAACATATTTATTGTCAAATAATATATTGCATAAAGATATTTTAACTTGAAGACACTAATGCACACTAACAATAAATTATTCCATCCATTTCAAATAAGGCAAATCTTTAAGTCAAAAATTATTTTTTGAATATTCGCGCTCACTAACCCACCACATGGGTCACGGCAGTTGTTTTTGGCTTTATTTAACAACACAATGACAATTTATTTTGTGATATTCACGATATTCATAACCTATTTGACCTGTCATTGTTAGGTTTTGGCTTTTTTCATGTGACAAGGTTGCAAGCGAACTGGTGATTCACCTGTTATTGAATGTTGAATGCCATAACCGGAACCATAATAACAAAAAAAAAATCCGCCAATCCGCAGTGGTGTCACACGGTGGGATGTGCCCTAATACCCTCTGTACAGAAGCTGTACAGAAGAGGCCTTCGCCCAGCAGTGGGGCATGTTTAGGCCGATACTTTAGTCTATTTTCACTTTAAATTGCAGAGGCGGTGCCCCCGTCGCCCACCGACACCGCCATCATAATGTACACGTCGGGCTCGACGGGCGTGCCCAAGGGCGTGGTGCTGTCGCACCGCAACATGGTGGCCACGCTGAAGGCGTTCGCGGACGCCATCCCCATCAGGGACGACGACGTGCTCATGGGCTTCCTGCCGCTCGCCCACGTGTTCGAGCTGCTCGCCGAGAACCTGTGCATCCTGGGCGGCGTGCCGATCGGCTACTCGACGCCGCTCACCATGCTGGACTCGTCATCGAAGATCATGAAGGGCACGAAGGGCGACGCGACCACGCTGCGGCCCACGTGCATCACCACGGTGCCGCTGATCATGGACCGCATCAGCAAGGGTATCACGGAGCGCGTGGCGCGCAGCGGGCCCTTCGCCGGCGCGCTCTTCAAGTGGGCCTACTTATACAAGCTGCGCTGGCAGCGGCGCGGCTTCTCCACGCCGCTGCTCGACCGCTTCGTCTTCGGCCGCGTGCGCTCGCTGCTCGGCGAGCGGCTGCGGCTCGCCATCGCCGGCGGCGCGCCCCTCGCGCCCGACACGCACACGCAGGTGCGCGACTCTACTCTGAGGCCGCGTCGCGCGCGACTGTACTCGACCGCGGCCAAGGCCGCGTTGCGCGCGACTGTACTCGACCGCGGCTAAGGCCGCGTTGCGCGCGACTACTCTGAGGCCGCGTCGCGCGCGACTGTACTCGACCGCGGCCAAGGCCGCGTTGCGCGCGACTGTATTCAACAGCGGCTAAGGCGACATTGTGCGCGATAGTGCTTAACGCAGCTAAGGCCATGTTGGATGCGAATGTACGGCACGAATACCGACAATGTCCCGGTTCACAAAACTGAATGAAACGCGACTGTACCGCTCCGTTATTTGCAAATCCACTTTTAACAATATCCATCCATTGTCAATGTTGCAACGTTGTCCGTGACTGTACCTCATGTATAAAACTCCCCCTGCAACCTCGCACGGAGTTTCTTAAATAGTAATGAATATCACAGTGTATAGTTTATTAGTATATTATTAATCGTAGTTGGTATTATACCATCGCTAACAGGTGCGGCTGTGCCTGTGCTGCGAAGTGGTGGCGGGCTACGGGCTGACGGAGACGACGTCGTGCGCGACGGTGATGAGCCCGCACGACCGCTCCACGGGGCGGGTGGGCGCGCCCGCCACGGGCGTGGACCTCAAGCTGCTGGACTGGGAGGAGGGCCACTACCGCGTCAGCAACCGGCCCTTCCCGCGCGGCGAGGTGGTCGTCGGCGGCGACAGCGTGGCCGAGGGCTACTACAAGAACCCCGAGAAGACGCGCGACGAGTTCGTCGAGGCCGACGGCCGCCGCTGGTTCCGCTCCGGCGACATCGCCGAGCTGCACCACGACGGCTGCATCAAGATCATAGGTCCGCCACCTTGTCTGCGTTAACATTGCGAACAGCTGTTCCACAGCCTACAGTTATACTACATTTATTGACTGCATTTCAACACACCGAACGGCCGTTCAATAGTCTACTGGACGCGTGTTGACTTTTATTATATATATATTGACTTAAATTTCGAATTTGCTGACAAGAAATCTCTAAAATCAAACGATAAACAATAATAACATTTAATAGGAATGCATTTTTACACAACATTTTGTAGTCCTAAACTAAGCAACGCTTGTCCTATGGGTACTAGATAACTGATAAACTATAAATACATATTATACGTCATAGTATACGTAAGAGCCGTGATAGCTCAATGTCCAGGCGCTCGCCTTTAATTTAATATATACTTGAGCAACCTGAGTTCGATCCCCGGTGCCGACACCAATGAAGTTTTTAACTTGTAAGTGCTGACTTATCACGTGCTCCGCGGTGAAGGAAAACATCGTGAGGAAACCTGCATATTTTCGAAATAATAACAAAAAAAATATTTCGAAGATATGTGAAGTCCGCCAATCCGCAGTGGGGCCGCGTGGTGGACTATGCCCTGATACCCTCTGTATAGAGGAGGCCTTTGCCCAGCAGTGGGACATGTATAGGTTACTTTACTCTTTTTTTACATATTATACATATATAAACAAACACATTGAAAAACCACTACATTCACAATATTTTTGCGGTATCGAGAATCGAACCCACACGCTCTAGTGCAAGAGGCAGGTCCACTGTGTAGTCCATAAATTTTCCTGTACATTGCGTCATCTATTCCATACTTTTGAAATTTCTCAAAACAAACAAAAAACAGTGTCATGCCCGTTGTTATTGTTATCCAGACCGCAAGAAGGACCTGGTGAAGCTGCAGGCCGGCGAGTACGTGTCCCTGGGCAAGGTGGAGGCCGAGCTGAAGACGTGCCCCATGGTGGAGAACATCTGCGTGTACGGCGACAGCACGAAGACGTACACGGTGGCGCTGGTGGTGCCGCACCAGGGCCACCTGGCGGAGCTGGCGGCGCGGCTGGGTCGGCCCAGCGCCGAGCTGGCCGCCATGTGCGCCGACCCCGTGCTGGAGCAGGCCGTGGTGCGCGAGCTGGCCGAGCACGCGCGCAAGTGCGGCCTCGAGAAGTTCGAGGTGCCGGCCGCCGTCAAGCTGTGCACCGAGGTGTGGTCGCCCGACATGGGGCTGGTCACGGCCGCCTTCAAGATCAAGCGCAAGGACATCCAGGAGCGCTACAAGGACGACATCAAGCGCATGTACGCCTCGTGAGCCGCGCGCATGTACGGGCCGGCGGACGGCGTTGGCACGACTCAAAAAACTCAAACTTATTCGATCTACTCTACTCTACTAGGAATCGATTTGTCTAAAACATTCGTTTGGAACGTCTGCCCTATGTTAAAGAAAGAAAAATTAAATCCCTGTACATAACTATTTATCTGTAAACATTTAAATCGTAGCGTAGTCGTGTTCGGTGCGTGAGTGGGGACGGATGCACAGAGCGGTGTCAGCTTAGCTTCTCTTGTCACAATAAAAATGAGAATTATCATCTGTATATGTAATTTTAAAAAAAACATAATAATATTAATAATAATTAGATCTGAAGTCTTTGGACGTCGACGTGTAGCGGAACCGCGAAGTGGGTTAGGATAGTGCGAACGCACGGCGATCTAGTCCACGCACTGCGAGGATTTTACGCTCGCAGTTCGCGGAGCCGTCGTGCGAATACTGTAGATATCGGCCTAGCTTCCATCGTAGCGTATACAACGCCGTTCCGTTCCACGGCGACGGTTGTGTTACCACGTCTAGCTTCATGAAACCGTCGACCAGTGGCACGTGACGGCGGCTGTGGGCTCGGTCACGCCGCGAAACTTCGTCTGAATCCGATGTTATAAAATAAATTACAATCGATATGATTAGAATATATTCGATTTTAATATGAAAATTTATCACAATATTATTAGTAATAATAAAATTTATGTATTTAAATGTACAGATCGCTGTTGTAAATTTTCTTCGAAGTATGAGACAAATATAAATCTGAACGGTGCAAGCGGAGCATCTTGAAACGTTTCGTGTTGTCATTTCTCGTTTGGCGTTTCAACGGCCGGCCGTGACTGGGCCGCAAATGAGAACTCATTTATGCTAAGTTAAGTGTATAGTACTTAGGGGATCGGGTATATTACATTTGCGTTGTTGTTATGTTTGCAAATCATTAGGCCCTCCTTGTTGTATGGCTAAGCGGACGGGTTACGCTTTTAGATAGACTTACGAGGCGCGCATTGCGGGGAGACCGCGCCTCGCCGCTATAATATAATAAATGTGGGTGGTGTATGTACTGCGTGTTTGAGGCGGACTGAGCTTGTTGATTAGTTGTACATTATATTTATTAACAATGTCTTCTAGGCATTTCACCTTCCTTCGGGTGCATTTTCTCGAGCATTTAATCCACTATCAATGGACGCCCAACTCGTTTCTCGGCGCGATTCGCATGTGTACGAAACAATTTTCAATCAATGCCCTGAGCAATATCTAATTATTAGATAATCGATGTATATTAAAATGTTAAATTCGGTATATTTGTATTGAATACTCCATAGTCTATAGAGGTTTTCATTCTGCATCGGTGTAAAATCGTAATGTATCCTTTAAACGGTGTGAGGCGACCTTCGGTGATATTTCTTCGATGTCATCAGTTTATTTTCATTTCCAATCGAATACTGCCTATTGAAAACAATCACGGTTTTGGTGGAAGTCGATTCTTCGTCTTCGGTCGCATTCGGAATTTATGAAAATTTCAACTGGAAACCAATTTTGTATTATTTATTCAATAAATGTTAATAAAATCAATGCTGAAATGTTTTATTTTTCTACACCCATTAAACACTTCTGTTAAATAATAAAATTAATAGAATTTGTGCTACAGTGAGTTTTATTATAAAAAATATTAAAATCTTATAATTTACATTATTATTTGAAAATCTTTGACATAAAAAAACTCAGGTTTTGAATAAAATAGGTGGAGAGATTACGAAATGGGAAGAGATCGCTGTGTGAATTATGTCATCATATATCATTTCTATTTCTAATATATAAAATTTTTGTTACCTTGTGTATATCGGCCAGGGTGGAGAATCGGACAGCATCTATTTTTCATCCCCCTAAATGTTTAGGGTGGTCCACCCCTATTTTTTATATAAAATTTTCTGTTTTTATTTTTTATGATACAGCAAAAATACATACAACCCTAAATTTTCACCCCTCTACGCAGACCTAGTCGTGGGCAGCAGCTAGTATTGATATAAGGATGTATTGATACATCGACTTACTAAATGTATAACCCAGAGCTCTAGGTGATTGGCATTAAATGTTAACAACTACACAATTCCATCGAAGACTAGTAAGTAGACTATGTAGACCATATGATCTCATTGGAGATTCGCCTTGACTTCACATTTACCGCAACACTTGCACTGACAATCTAAAATCAATAAGAATCAAATCGGCTCTATAAATATTATTTTTTGTATCAGCACCGAGATTTGAACTCTGATTGGGCTAGATGCCATAATTAAATTAACCTCAATAAAAACATTTGAGTTGTATCAATAACAAACAGGGTTATAAAAAAACACAAACATCAAGCTCACAACTTTATTTCAGTAAATATAAACCTTTTATGTTTGATGTCAACATAACTTCTACTATTTATGTCATAATACAATTCTTGATAAATAACTTGTTAGTGGTAATTGATGGTATTCAAACTCAGACTAATTAAGATAAAATTCACTATCTATTGAAGTCATGATATACAATCTGGAGAATTTGCATACAATATAATCTTTAGTTATTTTATTTATGGAAATAAAAAAGAGCTTTATTTCCTAGAAGCTTTTAAACACATAATTTTGAAAAAAAAAAACATTTTTATGCCAGTAATCTAACAGTATTTGGGTCAATCATGACTTCATCGATCTACAGTCCCTCAAACATATTTTTTTTATATACAGAGGTATGAACACTGTATACTATATATTATGTAAAATTCCCTTAATTCTTCCATGTTAAGAAGCTAAAATTCTAAATTTAATATACAAGAAGAATATTTACTACAGTTGATACATTGTAGCTAGTATGGGTGATGGGTGGGAGTTTGACTTGACAAACAATTTGCTCTATTTATTTTATTTATCTTCTGTGGTAAGACGACTCAAGGAACGTCACTATCCGTGTTCCTAGACAAAGTAGAACATTGGCCTTGCATACATTTCAGCAAATTAAGCTCCAAGGTAAATAGTAGAAAAAGAAACGGTATTTTTTTTTGTCTTGTCGCTAGTTATAGTGAAAACAATTACCGTAAGAAACGTCGAAAATATTTTGGCTTCATTACATGGTATTTGTCATGTGGGGTTGCGGTGTCGTTACCGGACCAGGGTAATCCTTGAGCCGCCCTGCTAGCCAGGTTAGTTGGCGCTCATCTTGCACAGATGGCGCAGCTGCATGATCTTGATGTCGTCGGTGCCGAACTTGACCACGCCCTCCTGGTTCTCTATCGAGATCAGCTGCCCCACGGCCTCGCGGTCCTCGCCCGCTATCACCTGACCGACAAATATCGACGCATTAACGTTTTGCGTTTGGGATTATTACTTTATAAAAATATCAATATCGGCTAAGATAAATATCGATGTATGTCGATATTTTCGGTTTAGATCCTATTTATGACTGTGTCTGTGACGGATCCGAATTTGAAAAAATATCGATACATAAAATGAAGAGTATCGATATTTTTTGGACATCCCTAAGCTGCTTACCTTGACGCGGTCGCCGGACTGGGGCACGACGGGCTCGAGCAGCGCGGGGGGCAGCGAGACGAGGCGGTCGTCGTGCGGCAGGTAGACGGCGCAGGCGCCGGCGGCCACGGAGCGCACCACGCCGCTGAGGCCGCGCAGCGCCTCCTCGGCGGCGGCGGCCACGCGCACCTCCACGTCGGGCGCGGGCCAGTCGGCGTGCGCCGGCTCGCCGGGCGTGGGCGGTGCGTAGGCGGGCGAGCTGGGCGAGTAGTCGGCCGGGCTGGGCGCGCCCAGGTAGCCGGCCGGGAAGCCCGCCGGGCTGGGGCTGGGCCGGTACGGGCTGTACGAGTGGTCGGAGCCGTACATGGTGCCCGGCGTCTGCGGCGTGAAGGGGCCCTGGCCGTAGCCGCCGCCCGCCTCGTACGCGGCCGGCGCCGCCTCCTCGAAGTCGAAGTCGGGCCGCGCCGGCGTGGCGGCCGCCGCGGGGTCCCACACGCCGTGCGCCGGCGTGCGCCCGCCCTCGTGCGACGGCGTGGCCGAGCCGTAGTGCGGCGTGCGCGCGCCCGACTCGTAGATGGGCGTCTGCGAGCCGTGCATGGGCGTCTTGATGCCCGTGTCGCGGTAGGTGGGCGTGTGCGAGCCGGGCGCGCGGCCGGGCGTGCGCGCGTAGGCAGAGGCGGCGCCGGCGCGCGCGCCGCCGCCCGCCGCCGCGATGTGCCCGCGGTCCACCGAGATGGTCTGGCACGTGGCGTGCAGCTCCACGCGCGCCGTGCTGCCCGTGGCGTCGCGCACGATGCCCACGTTGCCCTTGTACGGCCCGCCCGTGATCTTGATGGTCTGGCCCAGCAGCTCGCGGTCCCTGGCCACGGCGCCCCTGCCGCCGCGGCCCCTGCCGCCGCCCCGCCCCCCTCCGCCGCCGCCGCCGCCGCCCCGCCCCGACGGATGCATCGGCGACTGGATGCGCGGCGACATGAAGCCGAGCGCGATGCCGGCCAGGGCGCCCGCGTTCTTGGCGCCGCCGGCCAGCTGCAGGTGGCGCGTCTTGCACACGAAGATGCCGCCGTTGTCCAGGTACATGCGCGACTGCAGGAACGCGAAGTTGCGGTACAGGTGCTTGATCTCGCCCTCGCGGCCCGCGTGCGGCCCGTCGATCACCTTCACGATGTCCTTCTTCTGGATCGAGTTGTGCTCCGAGTCGAGCGCCGTCGTGAAACGGTTCTCGCGCCGCTTCTGCAGCGCCTGCGGCTTGCACTCGATCACTTTGCCCTGCATGCCGAGCACGTGGAAGTTCTCCTTCTCGAGCCTCACGATCACGCCCACCGTCTGCGGGTCCAGCTGCACCATGTCGCCCCACTGGAACTGGCCCAGCGAGTCCACGCCGGTGGCCATGTCCGAGCAGAGTTGCAGATCCCTAGGCAGGACCTCCAGCTCGTGCATAGTCAGGTCCGACACGAGGACCACTCTGTGCGGCTCGACCCTCACTATGAGACCGGTGTCGCCTTCGTACCGGCCGGCCAAAACCTTCACGTGGTCGCCCTGCTTGAAGTACTTCCGCAGCTCGTTGGGCTTAAACACGAGGGGGTCCTTCAGCGCGTCGTGTTTGGGCATCACCGTGATCATTGACCCATCTATGGCGATGATCTTCGCTTGCAAATTGGCGAGATCCCCGGAACATACTTCCACGTTATCTCCCATTGAGAACGAATGGAGACTGGTCGGGTCGTCCTTGGCCGGTGCCGCCAGCTCGATGTCGATGCCCTCGGGCTGCTCCTCGAACCTCTCCAGCTCTGTGAGGGAAGGCTTGACTCCTTCTGCTAAAATGGCGGACATGGTGAAATTCTTGTATAAGAACCCTTTCCTCGAATATCTGTTGCCCTCGAATATGAGGAAGTCACCATCGGAAGTGACCTCACCGCCGATGGCGCGAATCGCCTCGGGGTCGAAAGGTTTCGCCGCGGGGCGCCGCTTCTTCTTCCTCTTGGCCGCCTCGCTTTCGCTCTGTACCGTCCTGAGGGCGCCCCGCAGCCTCGTGTAGTCTATCCTCGGCAGAAGTTTCAAGTGAACTTGGTTCTGAGCCAAGTCCACGTAGTCTACTTGCGCAATGTCGTCTTTATATAAACCTCTCTTCAACCTGACCCACTGCTTGGGTTTTAGACCAGACTGTTCCTTAACTACCCTCAAGACATCTGTCATTTCTTTGATGGGCACCATGTCCTGTTTCCATGTGCCCATTCTTAGAGCACTGACATTGTTTATAATTGCCTTGACATGTGTTTGTTTGTAAGCTTCTATATAGATGTAGCCTTTGACACCTTCGGGTGCAACTACTGATTTGATCTGGAATGGCTCCTCTGAGTTCTTGTATGCAATGAACTTCCTCATCAGCAGTAGAACTGTTGCTTTCTCTTCACCGATATGACATTTCACCATCCATAAGTTAGGGTCCTTGATTCCAGGGAGAAGTGTTTGCTGAGTAATCTCATCGGACATTTCCTCACCACCTTCACCAAAGTGCCGCAATGCTGCGGACTCGTCAGCATACTTATTCCTTAGGTACTCCTCAATTTCCTCCTCCTTCTGTGAGTCCCAAAGATTAGTACCCCTACGCCGCCCCTCAATCTCCCTGGCAGTAGGTCCAATCTCATCCACTTCATTGCCCACAATACCCATTTCTTGGGCTCCTTCCTCCCATTCATCATCTTCATCAACTTCGTCGTCCACCTGTAAGGAGTATAATAAAAATATTTAACCTTGCTGTACTTTTAAAATGGATAACTTTATTAGTTTTATTTTAATTACAGTGGACCCCCAGTAATTCGACAAACATTTTACATAGCAGTGTCGGACTATTGAAATAGTTGAATTATAGAGTACTAGACCCTCCTATAGTCCAGAATTTTTAAAAAAGTATTTTAATCAGATCATACAAATTACAGATCAAAATGATAAGATTCCATCTGAATTACAAATCATACTATATAATTATGTATGTTGAATTTAGTCAATTAAGCAACACAATAGAGAGCTTATGTTTATAAAATTAATGTCATTAATGCTCATGCATTACCTACTTAGTAAAGATTTGCCAAAATAATGTTAGTGTACCAACATTCAACTATATGGATTTTATCTTTACTTTGAATTTAAGAACTTCACTTAAAAGTGGTGATATTTGTTGACGAATAATAAAAAGGATAACATGTAAAGCTTCTTATCTTACCTCAGCTTCATCAATAATGAACCCTCCATAACGGCTATCTTTCTTCCGTTTCTTTCTTCGCCTCTCTTCATCCTCATCTTCATCATATTCTTCAGAATCTACAAGATCCTCCCCTTCTGGCTCCTGCTCATCCTGTAATAATTGAAATCAGGTTTAACCTACAACAAGCACAATGTTTTCATTCCTGGGCTCATAGCTTAGGTAATTCTGAGGGTTTATTAATATCAACAAAATAAATCACATATTGCAACAATAACTTGCGTGATACAAAAATGTTAATTTAAAAAGTATTCAATGAGTTTATTGGAATAAATCGTTTTGTCTATCTATAATCCACGTTCACTAATTAAATTTGCTACCTCTACATCCTCATCTCCCGAGGCTTCCTTCGCCTCGTCGTCTTTGTTGCGGCTGCCATCGGAACCAACCGAACGGCTCCTGGTAAACATTGGCCATCGTAAAGAAACTATCTAGTTCACCTAAATAACATAATTTGATAGCTTAGTTAATCAACAATGACTTCAAGAGTTGCTGAGTGTATACCTAGATCGAGAGCGTGACCGAGACCTGGAACGTGATTTTGAAGGGCTCCTGGAGGGGCTTCGACTCCCCGAACGTGATCGCGAACGTGAAATCGAACGGGATTTTGCCGAACGGTTAGAAGTTGCACTTCTCCTTGATCTATTAGATACTACACTAGCCACATCGGAGCCGCTGCCCGAGTAATTACTTCCTTCTGAATCAGACATTATCACTTATCACAAATATTTAGTAACATTGAATAAATAAGGAGAAATTTCAGCGAAAAACAAAATGTCGAAGAAATTCAAGAAATACAGCAGACGTGACAAGAACAGATTAAAAAAAAGACAAATATTTATTTTATGTCTTATCTATGAATGAGACGTACAAGCAAAGACAGCTGTCGTTATTATAAATAAAATATAGTTTAGCTTATAAAAAAAACAAACCAATGTTTACAATATTAAATCTAACAAAATTACATGTTATCTAATAAACCTAGTCCCTAGTCCACGCAGCATGTTGCTAAGAACGCTAGGTGCATTTCCTTGTTGAATAGTTAATCTATGACCAACTCTTGTCACCAGCCGTGGCAAAAATCTAGCACAGTGTGATAAAAGTAGTGATTATATTCTCTGTGAAACCTAGGACGTAAACTTTTCAAAAAATTCGATATTCGAGGACCCCACGTACCTAAAGTTTCAACAGCAAATGGCAAAATACATAAAAGAGACTCATATTTGTATCATTTACTCAATCGGCCTCTAATGCCGTTGAAGCCCTGACCGAAGAACTCCTTAGATGTAAAGCAGCCAAAGTGTCTACACAAGTAGCATCCCAAACGAGCGCCTGTTCTCTTACGATCATCGCGGAAAATGCTCATGAATCTATAAAATAAATTATTTTCATTTTAACTTCTTTACTTTTATTCCTTTTTGTAGAAAATGCAAATTAAAACATTATTCTTCTACTTAAATTATGAAATAACTTTCTTTCACGGTAAAATATTTATATTATATTTCTCTTACATTACTTAAATTTAATTACTGTTTAATGCCTACACTACGATTCACCTAAGGTTGCTAAAGTGCACAACACTTAAAAGTTAAAAGCAAATGCCCGGATCTTATGCAAGTTAGCACCGCTCTTTATTACAGCTGTTTAGAAAATATTTCATACTGTTTATTATATCTTTATTAATGTAGGTAACGACAGGTTTATATAAACCTCATGGTGTAAATATAAAAGTTGCTGTGAATGAATGGATATTGGATAGTAGAGAGTTAATTTGAATCCAGTTTAAAATATTGTCTATGGTACGACATCCAATAAAAATAAATCCTTTCTTTTGTCTATTGATTCGTCGCGGCCCCACCGACTAATGTAAAATTTTATAAAAAAACCACAACTGTAACAATATTGAAAGGAAATTAAATAATTAATTTATTATAGTCTATAAATGAAGCAAGAGCAATAGTTATTAAGCGGTAAATAAACGTTTGCGAGCATAGATGTATTCAATCCTCATGGACTTCTCTCCGCTGATTGCTGAATAGCTTTCGATCGTATTTTCACACCATCAACAATAAGTGCTGCATGTTATTGTGTAGTTCATACACCGGTAGACGTGCAAAAGTGCAAATCGTAAAATATTAGTGCAGTGGTGCATTGCGGTGCGGTGCAGTGTAGACTCGTGATGGAGCAGTGAGGCTGCGGCTCGGGCGCGGCGCCAGGGCTCCCAGAGGGGGGTCATGTTGGAGACGCGGTCGGCGCGCGCCGCTGACTCGGTGTGGGCGAGCAAGCCGTTGCCGGCGCCTCACGCCATGGCCAACACGAGGCACGGAAAGAATGCCCAGGTACAGCCTCCAACTTCATAGGCCCAACTAATTAGATGGTATAATGTTGTGATCTCTGCCCACTCCAAGTGCTAAATACTCCTTTGCACCACAATATTCCAACTTAATCATAAGGCAGTGTTCATTTGAAGTCATGGTTTTCTCACACAAAACTATGTTCTAGAATCAAATGCACAGGATATATATCATTAATAGTTATTATATTAAATGTAATAGTAAAGCATTTTTTTTTGCTAAAAGACACTAAATTGGCCATAACACAATTTGATATAAATTTAGAACTATCCGAATATTAAGAAGTTATTCTAGTGACTCATATTATAGAATAATTCAACCAGAACAATCATAATATTGAAGTAAGAAAGAGAATGGTTCACATATTATTATAGTTTTAACAGAAGAAGCTGCTAATAAAATTTTTAGTAAATATAATAATAAAAAAGTTTTTAAGACATATGAGCAATTCAAAAAAATTAATGAAAAGGTTTTTTTTATAGACAAATTATATTTAATTATTTTTTACTGTGCACATAACATTTAATGTGCAATATTATTTAATTCATGTGGTAAGTTTAATGGCTCATATTTTTTATAAAATGAAGTCTTTTGAAATTAGATTACTTTACAGAATTCAGTAAAACGACTAAATCCTAGACTGAATATTATACTAGGTATAGTTATATAATAAAGCAACTTTCTTTTTGAGGTATATTGATAGAACCAGTTTTTGCTTTAAATAACATAATTTTACTATCAATATCCTATGGTTTTATTTTCTTTTGTACTTAAAGATGTATTAGCAATGTATATTTTTCAAATTTAGATTACTATATAGATGCACTTTGCCCAAATTTTAATGTTCATCAAATAACTTCCATTAAATACTCCACTTCACAACCACCTGTTGTATAATTAGATCAGAATGCACAATTGCATGGCACAAAAGTTGCAGTTATGTTGTACAGCTGTTGCATATCTGCGCTGTCGGATTTAATTATTACATAACAGCCAATGTTACAAATCTCATCACCAAGATTTTGTTTTTTAAAAATACAAAAATTATTGGAGCTATGATAAAAAACAATGTATGTTCTAAATCCACCATATAATTAGGGATCCTTATATTACTTGTCCCTATGATGAAGTTATCACAGTTGAATAGACCGGCCATCCTGAACTGACCAGCTCAGTTGCTCTAATCACATCACATTTTCAACACAGCCACTGCTTTCTGATTATGTTTGGTTATAAACATTCAATGGAATGATGACATGACTGCTTATTTTTTTAGGCAGATTAGTTTGCCAAATTAATGGAAAACAATGAAGAGTTGATCATATTATTATGGAACTAATAGGATCTGTTGATAACAATGATTCCTTTATAAATAATAACTGATAGGATCCAATAATTGAACTTTTTTTTCTATTGTTATAAGACTGTTTTTATATTATGTTGAAAATAATAGATAAAAACATATCTTCATCATACACATCACCCTCAACATCTTAGTTTCTTAATAAACACTTTTCATCTGACTTCCTGCTCATATTAGCATAATGCAGTACTAGATTTAATATTTAATCATTTTGAACATTTGAGGATTGCCCTCGATTTCCCTGGGATGCCATCATCAAATCCGGGTTTCCTTATCATGGTACCACCCTTGGGATATCTCCTTTCCAAAAACAGATTCATCAAAATCAGTTCATAAAGGACGAAGTTAGTCAAATTGAGAAACCTCCGTCTTTTTTGAAGTTGGTTAAAATAGATATACAGCCAGAATTGTATAACACCCACACTTTAGAACTACTATTATAATAAGTTTGTGTCTCAAGGAGTTGTGAAAATAAACCTTGGACTTATTATTCACAAGCATGAATAAGAGCCTTCTATTTGTTGTCTAATGTATGAGCGACTGAAGCTGGCGTACATTTTGTTCTTTTTATAAATGTACATTTTTAGACCTCATAATAAAAGTGGCTGATTAGACAATAAACTCGTGTTCTTTGTTTCAATTAGGTCACAATAATTAGGTAGGTACATACATAGAAAATCACCTCAAATATGTATAGGGTCAAATCAGATTATTACAGAATGCCATTAGTGGATATATAAAATATGTAAAATCTTTAATACCTTTCCATTTGTGCAGTTGTATCTTGAGTTGTGATCATATTATTATTGCATAGTCAACAAGTGTTGCTGGTGTTTACATATATAACAAGTATCCTATTGCAATGTTTAGACTAACAGCGTAGTTCATAGATTTACCTTAGACAATAAGACAACGCGATTCATTCGTCGATATTTCCTTCTTTTTATGTGTTCTCAAAACATTTTTTTTACCTTCATTCTTGTTTAACCTAAATAAAACAGCTTCAACTAAGGGCCGCAAACGTAATATAAGAATTTGTGCACGATTCACAGTGTGTTTGTTGGTGTAACGGTATAAAAGCAACCGACATAGCTCAGAAGATTAGCAAGCTGAAGTGGCGATGGGCCGGTCATATAGCTCATAGAACCGACAAGCGATGGGCAAGAAAGGTTCTTGTGTGGCAGCCTCGTATTGGCCATCGCGGTGTAAGACGACCCCACTAGATGGAGTGACGACCTGTGCAAGTGTGCGGGGAATTCGATGGATGCGGGTGGCTCAGGCTATGGTTAACAGTGGACGCAAAGAGGCTGAAATTATGATGATTTGGTCTAAGCGTTACATGTGACTATTAAGTTCACCACATACCTCGTTAACGTATTACATTATTTCATGGGCTTAGGATATGAAAAGATTTTGGTGATTAGGTCATCATACCGCAAGTTTAACGTTCCAGCTCTTAGCAATAAGTCGTATTTGCTTCTCAATTTCGGTTACGACGTCTTTGGCGTCAATATTGTGTTTTGTCACCCCCTACACTCGTGTATTAATCAGTTGGGAACAATCGATCGTCACTGAGTTACTCCCTAATAAATAGGGATGATGAAAAGCGAAGCTCATTCATGGTTTCAATTTTCTTTTTATGTGAGAAAACGGACAGACGGTTCACCTGATGTCGAGTGATTAACGCTGCCCATGGATATTTACAAGCCAGTGGAATTGTAGATTCCTTGCCAACCTTTAAAAGCGTAACCAACGGTTACCTCGCTTACCACATGAGCACTACCACTTTACAAAAAAGACTTTACAAGAAAAAGGGCAAAACGGGCAAGCACAACTGATGGAAAGTGATCAGCCGCCCATGAACATTTGCAATACCGGGGGGCTTGCGAATGCGTTGCCCATTTGTCCGGCACATCAGGTAAAGAATATGCTTTCTTCTTGAAGGTTCCCAGGTCTTTTCAGTGACTCCGTAGCTACTGAATTTCGTAATAGTCTTAGGTTGTCTAAATCACGTTCGCAATTTTCTTGTTCTATGAATATTTTATAGGTTCACCGTCATAAAATGACCTTCGCGAATGATTTCTCTTCGCGCCACTGCAATAGAATCAGTGCAAAAATTTTATTAACGTGCAAAAATTTTTTACCTAACAAAATGCAAATTAGATTAAGCCAATAATTAATATAGTTGTGATTTTTTGTAATATACTTCTCACTGGAGACAGTTAAAGCATCAACGAATTGACGAGTGATTTAAAAGAATAATTAAACCAGGCAAACGATTATACCAATAAAACTTTATATTCTATTAAAAGTAAAATATAAAAGTAGTAAAGTAAAGTAACAGCCTATACATGTCCCACTGCTGGGCAAAGGCCTCCTCTATACAGAGGGTATTAGGGCAAAGTCCACCACGCGGCCGCAATGCGGATTGGCGGACTTCACATATCTTCGAAATATATATTTTTTTGTTATTATTTCCAAAAGATGCAGGTTTCCTCACCGCGGAGCACGTGATAAGTCAGCACTTACGGCTAAAAACTTCATGGCACCGGGGATCGAACTCATGTTGCTGGAATATATTGAATTAAAGGCGAGCGCCCGGACACTGAGCTATCACGGCTCAAAAGTAAAATATGGTATAGTTTATTTTGTTTAGCTAAAATGTGGACAGGTTTGTAAATACATTTATGATAGGTTAGTATCATGCATTCATTTAAATCTCGAAGTCACAATCATTCTGTATCGCAGATATATTAAAGACAGCTATAAACCGTTGCCAGGATTTTGGTACTTTATACTTCTTTGATATTCAATTTGTTGCGTCTTCAATTATAGCCAAAATTATGATAACACCGAGTGGTTTTCATTTTCATTGCACTACCCACTCCGTAAGAGAATACACCGTGAAGCGTGAGCACTCGACACGCTCTGATTTCTATTCTTATTTGTACAGTTTCGTCTATTTAAACATAGACAACGCATCGCGAATATAATATTACAGATAACTTCCCACTAGAAAACACTATACCGCCACACAATATTTTAGCGTTAACCAATTATTTCGCTTATCGTCGCTTAAGAGAAAACTAACAACGTTTGCATAAGGTATACCATTCTAACCGCCCTCAGCTAATAATTACAAGATTAATTCAGTCGACGGCCACTGGGGGTCGCGGTACGTACCTCGATGGTTCGTAGGTGACATTCCTCCACTGGGCACATGCTGGGCCCTACCCAACGCGGAGGGCCTGAAATAAGCTCGTGGGATTATCGGACAGATATCGACATTTATCGGACAGAGAGGAAGAACATCAGACATCAAGACGTATAACAACTCAGTCTGTCCCATGACCATGAACGCTGGAAAGGGTTCGAGACGTCGGAAATTTAATGTCAAAATTAAAACCCGTTAAGATCCGTAAACTAACTAGTTTCATTTAATATGTAGGTATAATATTCTTGAAAGAAATCGATATGAAAAACATCAGTTCAAGTAAAGTATTAAACCTTAAGTTTTTAGGTTGAGGTTGTTTTTAATTGTAATGTAAATTTGTTGGAAATTTAAATTTTTTATAGTACTAATTTCTGCACGTAAGATAGAACATTAAAATATGTAGAAAAAGTACGAATCGAACCAGCGTCGACGTGGGTTCGATTCCCACAGCGGCGACAATCTTTTCGTACTTTTTCTACATATTTTAATGTAAATTTGTTGGTTAGAACTAAGAACGTTTCCTAATTTTAAAGACAACCGTTTACTATTCGCCGCTGACTATGTCCCCTTTTACGCATTCAGCGTGTGTTGTTAAACGATATTTCCTGGTTAATTCGGCTCATTGTTGTGGTTAAGGTCCCAAACGGAAATGGCTATTTTTTATGAGCTGTCGCTCCAGCCGCTCCAGATATAGCGTCATGAACGACGGTTTTAGCTTTCGT